AAGTCGATTTAAATACTTCCGTCCCAAACGAATGACATGCTTATAGATTGATCTAAGTCGATTCACATTTAGAAAACTATCACATATGTTAGTTCATCCAATTTCATGTTAATAGTCCTGTTTAATATACCCATAGTGGTGAAGGGTATCATATAGTTGGCCCCGTCCGACTTTGCTACTTTCCTTACTAGTTTTTTAAACCCCTTAATAGGACCAAATCATGTACATATATAGTCCTATGTACAATTTGATATTGGATTTATAAATATGGAAAATATTGGCCATTTTTGGGGAATTTGCCTTGAGGAGTTGTCCGATATTCTCCTTATTCGAACATGAACTATGTTTGGGAGAAATATTACGATGTGCAAAGTGTGGATGTAATCGTTTACCCCCCTCGGGAGTAATTGCGCTCACCAATCGGCCAGGCAGATAGGCGAACATACATAAATCGACTAGAAATTGTCTGAAAAGGATTCAGAATGAGTTATAGCTCCCACATATTTTAAAATATTTTAAAATTTATTCAAACCACTGTGCCATTTATTGTTATATTATAACATAAAGCCCAGCCTAACTTTATGGTTTCTTCTCCATCTTCTAATACCTTGGAAAATAAACAGCTGACATTTGAAAAAAGAACACAGAACAAGAAGTTAAGATGTCACAAAACTTTTACAATGTCATTGTGGTCCATTAAAAATGTCCACAAGAACATGGCTGGTGATTGCCTACTTCCTGACATTTATTGTCATTCAATTCAATGCGATTTACGATTGGCCTTGACTTTTGAATTGTTGTTGGACAGAGAACGACATACCAACAATCAAAAACTTTCAAACAAGTATGAGTATGAGAATATCCCTAAGCCTCCTTATTGTTATGGTCTCATGGTATTCCTATTAAATTCCATAGAATACCAAAAAGTGAGGAAACAAGTTGCGTTTTATTATTACGAATGGGGTGGGGACCTATGTTTACCTCTGTTTTTATGTTCTAACAAAAATAAATTCCTCACCGCTTCCCAGTTTTTATTGCTATCCCATAAAAACAATCAATTTGCTAGCTAAACAAAAAATAGAAATAATTTAAGAGAATAGGGCTTCTTGTTTGTTTCAATTTCAATTAATTAATTGCTGCAACAAGTCAATAGGAAATTGTATCGAAATGTTCTAAATGTAGATCACAAAACCGTAGATGGTATTGCTACCTCTTATGGACATCAATATTTTCTTAAATAAAACACAAACTGGAATTTAATTGTTTTTTTTTAGTTTTGGAATTTATTCCAAATGCTATTATTGAAATCTTATATTAGAAAATGAATGTTAGTCACATTTCTTTTTTTTGTCAAATTCATCAGTTTACAAAAATAACATCAGTTGGCATTTTTATTGCATTTCTATAAATTGTTTACATAGAAATATTTTACAAATTTTTTATGTTGGAAATCTTTTAAGAGGATTAGTTATGGCATACTTTGTTCAACTTTTTGATATGAAAATAAAATTTTAATTTTTATCATTTAAATATTAAAGCAATGAATAGAAAATAAAAACTGTTGAAATATTTCAATCAACGGAACCAAGAAGGTGGCTTGTAAAATCTCTATTTCATAACCCAAGTAGTAAAGGGTCCTTTTTGAAACCACATAATCTCTAAATTGTATGTTTTAACAGCAGACAAAAAATCGGTTATCAAATGACCATAACGTTCCAAATTTACGGTGACAGTCTTACTTCAATAGCCGATAAAAAATCCATAACACTCCGAATTGAGGGTGGTAGTCTTTCCATCGTCCTCTTCGAAGACGTAAGGGCCAATCACACCTTCGGTCCAAAGAGCGCACCAAGCTGTGGGGTTTTCTCGATTATTCAATTACTTGAGAATTCTCAGAACCCTGAATATGGCAGTTTAGTTTATTAACCCATACAAACCGAATGAGAAATGTACTTCATCGCTAAAGATTTTTTTTTGTTTTGAAAAATTAACCTTCTAACGCCTGTTGTACCTGTTGCACACATTCGTCGCATATACGAAGTTATCAAAGTTTAGCTGGTTTCAGTTTTTGCGTGAGCTGGACTTTGTATGGGCGTATGTGTAGATTTAACTGCAAAATCCTGATTCCTTAGAACGACGAGGAAAAATTTGTAAACCGGATCACAATCGAAATTTTGCATGTAGGATGGATTCTGGACAAATAAGACCCATATGTTTTTTGGTAAAGATCCGTTAGACATATACCCAAGAAGTTAATAGTATATCCAACAGAAGTGGTTGACCTTTAAATTGATACCAATTATATTGTTGCATGTACTTGGATATGGGAGTTATATTAGTTTGGGGAAAAATAAATCAATTTTTTTATAAATGGTTTAAAAGTTATGGTCGATTTTTTTAGCTCCTGTGCGATGTTACGACTGCTAACATGCCGGTCAACCTCGATCATTTCTTCGATTTTATCGACATTTTCGACGACTGACCTACCTGCGGAAGGTGCTGAAATTGTTTGATCGATACATTACGAGAAATCTATCAGTACAGCCATCTGCCGAAAAATAATGGATTTCTTTTTCTCCAACCTAATACTTAAATATTTAAAAGTGTCTATGTGTTATGAATAATTTAGTATTACAATTAACCCACTAGAGGGCCGAAATGTCGCGCTGATCGCTTTGAAATTTTAGAGAACAAACAATGCATATAATTTTTGTTGATGTGGAGATAATATTTAGAGGCAGCAATGAACCGAAATTTTTATTTTTGTCAAATTTGCTAGTCGCCCTAGAGGTCATTATTATATGCACAACATCACATATTTTGCACGGTGGTATTGGAATCTGACCAAATACTTAGAACGGCTGTTTAGATGATGATCGGTCAATATTCAGAAGGTCAAATCAACCAAAGCCTAAAGTGACTAACTTTTTATTTTATGGCGTAAATATTCGCCTCGGTGAAAACAAGATATGGAAAATTATGCCCGGGTTAGAAGTGGAGCTGGTCAAAGGGGTACTGGTCAAAAAAATGTAGAGGCTTTGGTACACTACATAAAATCGGATGGAAATATATATGGGAGCTATAACTAAATCTGAATCGATTTTCACGAAACTTAACACCCATTATTCTAGCCTTTATTTAGTGAGCTACTTTGGTTCACCATTTACATTAAATCCGATGAAAATATATGTGGGAGCTATATCTAAATCCGAATAGATTTTCACGAAACTTAGCACACCCCTATCTAGACTAAATTCAGTACTCTGTGCCAAATTTCGTGCAAATCGAAATATGTTTAAGGACTTTGGTGCCCCATTTACCTTAAATCGGACGGAAATATATATGGGAGCTATACCTAAATCTGACCTGATTTTCTCCAAACGTAACACACGTCATTTTAGACTCAATTCAGTAACCTATGCCAAATTTCGTGAAAATCCAAAGTGATGTAGGGGGTTTGGTGCACCCTTTTACAAAAAATCGGACGACAAGATATATGGGAGCTATATCTAAATCTGAAGCGATTTTCACGAAACATAACACACATCATTCTAAACTCAATTCAGTACGCTATACCAAATTTCACGCAAATCGAAATATATATAGGGACTTTGGTGCACCATTTACCATAAATCGCACGAAAATACATATATGGGAGCTATATCTAAATCTAAACCGATTTTTCATTTCATTCCAATCCGTGTAATAAATGCGACCAGTACTGGACGGACATCGACTCAGTGGTCCAACGGATTTAAAAGTCCTCCAGGCACCTTTCGCAATGCATCCAAGACTAGGAGCAGAATTTAGGCCACATGACAGCTTATTTCCTCCAATGCACCACGTGATCCACTGTTTTCCATTATTGCGATTAATTGAATGGGAATATTAAACTAATTTATGTATTTCCACGTATTAGTCTATAATATATTCATAATCTGATTTATCTTTCTTTTTTCCTTCCTCCGTTGTTGTGTATTTGAAATAATAATCAGATAATCCCTGACTTTTTGTGCGACATATTCCGAGATATAGCCACGCGTACACAACAAAGATTAAAATGCGTTTGTTTTTTTTTCTTTTTCAATTTTTTATACACTTTGTTCCGGAAAGTGCAATTAAATTTATTGGATCTTCTGTTGAATTGCCAGCGATAAATTTGTGTTTGACTTTTGACTTTGGGATCGATTTAAATATTTCGTTTGATAAAGTTTTTTTTGTTTGAAATATTTTAATAAAGTATATACTTGAAATGAAAAAAAATAAAAATTTATTAAAAGTCTGTTATTCGCCTTTATTTGTATGAAAATGTTAATTAATTTCAATTTTAATGGAAGTGAACAAAAAAAGGTAGCGATAATTTGCAAAAAAACAAATGAACCACTCCACACTTGCCGAAAAAAATCCAAAACTCACAAATAAAACTTTCGTTGTTCATTCGCATCGAAATGTGTTCGCAAATTGCTCCTTCATTATTTAAACACTTGTGAAATTGTGCTGCCGCGCCAAAACTTTAATCAAAAAGCCCATTTTTATTGAAATTAAATATTATTAAAATATTGCCTACTTTTAGGAGCACCAATTAAATGTTGCACACTTTTAGGTCTTAACATTTAATCAACAATTGATTCAATATTCTCAATATTTCGAATTTTTTCCTTTCTTTCTCTCTTTCTTTTCATGTATGAATGAACATCAACCCTAACAACGAAATTGCAAACAATATTGCTGGGCATGTAATAAATATGTATATGTGTGCGTGTCCGTGTCCGTGCAATTGATATACATATACATCTACCTACCGTTTGCCTTCCAATTACGCCAATCAAACAAATTAACTGATTTTTGGTGTTGCTGTTGTTGTTGAAATAACGAAACGATACATCACTTTTGGCAATCGACCGACCAATCAACAAAACTTTGAACAATCCTCGTCATCATTGTCAATGGCTTCATATCGTCGTCGTCGTCATCTTTCCATACCCTGTCCCCTTCTACAGGAGCTGATGGTGGCAATGGTGCAGCCATTATCTCATCGTTGCGCCCCTTCGACCGCGAAAAACAAAAAGCCTACCTCATACCCATCGAAATCAAAGACAATGGCGCCCCAGCCATGACTGGCACCTCAACACTGACCGTCATCATCGGCGATGTCAACGACAACAAAATGCTGCCCGGCAGCAAAGAGGTGCTCGTCTACAATTACCAGGGCCAATCACACGACACACCCATCGGTCGGGTTTATGTACACGATTTGGACGATTGGGATGTGGTCGACAAGAAATACTACTGGGAACAGCAGGAACATCAGCGCTTCAAATTGGACACCGATACGGGCATTGTTACGATGAAGGCTGGCACTCGCCGTGGCCGTTATAATTTACGCTTCAAAGTCTATGACCGCGAACAGGGTCAGGTGGATGTGCCGGCGAATATGACGGTGCTCGTCCGCGATATTACCCAGGAGACAGTACAACAGGCCGGTTCAATGCGTCTGCAGGGCATAAGTGATGAGGAATTTGTTCGAACTTGGGATTTTAAGCAGCACAAACAGGTTCGCTCCAAGCTGGAACGATTTCGCGATAAATTGGCTGAGCTGTTGTACACAGAACGCGATATGGTCGATGTGTTCAGTGTGCAGACGAAGGAGGAGGGTGTGACGGATGTACACTTTGCTGCCCGGCCGGCCAATCAACAGCCTAGCTTTAAGGCTGTGCGCCTTAATGGTGTGGTTCTCATGCAAAGAGAGGAGATTGAAAAGGAATTGGGTTTGAACATCACCATGGTGGGCATTGATGAGTGTTTGATGGAGCAACGAAAATGTCCGGGGTCATGTTCAAATCGCATCGAAGTTAATAAGCTGCCGCACACGGTGAATGTAAATAAGACAGCATTGGTGGGTGTGCGCCTGGACATAACGGCCGAGTGTGTGTGCAAGGCCCGCAATTTCAGTCGAGAAAGTTCCTGCCGCACTCTGCATTGTTTTAACGGTGGACGTTGTGTCGATACCCGTAATGGTCCCAAATGTGTGGCCTGCCCCATAGGCTACAATGGACCAAGATGCCAACAGAACACTCGCAGTTTTAAGGGTAATGGTTGGGCCTGGTATCCCCCGCTACAGCTTTGTGAGGAATCCCATCTTAGTTTGGAATTCATTACCAAGGAGGCCGATGGTTTAATTCTCTACAATGGACCCATTGTACCACCTAAAGTAGAGGGCTTGGTGCTTACCGACTTTATTGCCGTTGAATTGGAACAAGGCTATCCTAGATTGCTAATAGATTTCGGCTCCGGTACTCTGGAATTGAAAGTGAAAACCAAGAAAACCCTCGACGATGGCGTGTGGCATCGCCTCGACCTATTTTGGGATTCGGAAAATGTACGCATGGTGGTGGATTTCTGCCGTTCGGCAGATGTTTTCGAAATGGAGGATGGCTCACCGCCTGAGTTTGATGACAATTCCTGTCAGGCACGCGGCTCCATACCCCCCTTCAACGAAGCCTTGAATTTAAATACTCCCCTACAAATTGGTGGCCTTTATCGGCAACATTTCGATCAATCGCTCTTCCGTTGGCAATATGCCTTCACCTCCAAGGGGTTCGATGGCTGCATTCGCAATGTCATACACAATTCGGAACACTACGATTTGGCCTTCCCCGCGTTGGCCCATAACAGTTATCCGGGTTGTCCGCAAACCGATGAAGTCTGCCTGAAAACAGATCACACCGCCCGCTGTTGGGAACAGGGCAACTGTGTGGCCAGTTTGGTGCAGGCCAAATGCCACTGCCAACCCGGCTGGACGGGACCCATGTGTAATATACCCACCATACCGACCACATTCAAACCCCAAAGTTATGTCAAATTTGCCTTATCATTTGAACCTGATCGTTTCACCACACAACTGCAATTGCGCTTCCGAACCCGGGAAATGAATGGGGAAATTTTCCGTGTGTCCGATCAACATCAACGTGAATATGCCATACTGGAGTTGAGTCAAGGACGTTTACATTTTCGCTACAATCTCAATTCGCTCAAGGCTGAGGAACATCATTTGGCATTGTCGGCCATTGCTGTCAATGATGGGCAGTGGCATGTGGTTAAGGTGAGTCGCTATGGTTCAGCGGCGCTTATGGAATTGGACGGTGGTGAGGGCAGACGCTACAATGAAACATTTAATTATGTCGGGCATCAATGGCTGTCCATAGATAAGCAAGAGGGTGTTTATGCCGGTGGCAAGGCAGAGTACACGGGCATTAAGACTTTCGAAGTTTTAGGAGATTTTCAACGAAGCTGTCTAGATGATATCAGGTAAGTTGCAAGTGGCTAAGATTTATGATGACACATTTCTTGTTTTGTTGTTGTTTTTGTTTTTCATATTATTTGCACAAAAACGTAGAATTGCCAACCACCACTGGTCGTAATGTTGTTCAGTGGGAATTATTTTGGCTGTTACAAATAAATTAATGTGTGTATATATGAGTGTGTGTGTGTGCGTATAAGTGTCAAGACATGATATCAGTTTTTATCTTTGTAAGACATGTTACGAATGAAATGAACACTGCTGCCCCAGCTACTTCTGTCGCATTGTGGTTGAGTAACGATTTGTGTACCCTACTCTAGACGGCGTGGGTTTGTCAAGGGCCTGGATTTTTTTGAAGAATTATTTTTAAAGACTACGATGGCCATACGAGGCGTGGATTTTTTAAATAATATTTTTTCAAGGACCATAATTGGCGTGGATTTTTTAAAGAATATTTTTTCAAGGACCATAATAGGCGTGGATTTTTTAAAGAATATTTTTTCAAGGACCATAATAGGCGTGGATTTTTTAAATAATATTTTTTCAAGGACCATAATAGGCGTGGATTTTTTAAAGAATATTTTTTCAAGGACCATAATAGGCGTGGATTTTTTAAAGAATATTTTTTCAAGGACCATAATAGGCGTGGATTTTTTAAAGAATATTTTTTCAAGACCATAATAGGCGTGGATTTTTAAAGAATATTTTTTCAAGGACCATAATAGGCGTGGATTTTTTAAAGAATATTTTTTCAAGGACCATAATAGGCGTGGATTTTTTAAAGAATATTTTTTCAAGGACCATAATAGGCGTGGATTTTTTAAAGAATATTTTTTCAAGGACCATAATAGGCGTGGATTTTTTAAAGAATATTTTTTCAAGGACCATAATAGGCGTGGATTTTTTAAAGAATATTTTTTCAAGGACCATAATAGGCGTGGATTTTTTAAAGAATATTTTTTCAAGGACCATAATAGGCGTGGATTTTTTAAAGAATATTTTTTCAAGGACCATAATAGGCGTGGATTTTTTAAAGAATATTTTTTCAAGGACCATAATAGGCGTGGATTTTTTAAAGAATATTTTTTCAAGGACCATAATAGGCGTGGATTTTTTTGTCAACAAAGTACAGGTCGCATTTATGATCCGATTTAGATGAAATTTGGCACAGGTCACTTATTTGGCCTAAGAACGAAAACTATTGAAATTAGGAAAAATCGGTTCAGATTTGGATATATATTTACTTCCGATTTCATGTAAATGATGCACCAAAGTCCCTATATGTCTTTCGATTTGCACGAAATTTGGCACAGCGTAATGAATTAGGTGCAGAATGAAGTGTGTTACGTTTCTTGAAAATCGGTTCAATTTAGATATAGCTCCATATATATTTTCGTCCGATTTAATGTAAATGGTGCACCAAAGTACCTATATATATATACCTTTCAATTTTGCACGAATTTTGGCACAGCGTAATGAAATAGGTCCAGAATGATGTGTGTTAAATTTCCAGAAAATCGGTTCAGATTTAGATATAGCTCGAATATATATTTTCTTCCGATTTAATGTAAATGGTGCACCAAAGTCGCTATATATATTTCGATTTGCACGAAATTTGGTACAGCGTGAAGAATTAGTTATAGAATTATGTGTGTTATCTTTCCTTAAAATCGGTTCAGATTTAGATATAGCTCCCATATATTTTTTCGTCCGACTTAATGTAAAATTTGGCACAGCGTAATGAATTAGGTCCAGAATGATGTGTGTTAAATTTCCAGAAAATCGGTTCAGATTTAGATGTAGCTCAAATATATATTTTCGTCCGATTTAATGTAAATGGTGCACCAAAGTCCCTATATATCTTTGGGTTTGCACGAAATTTGGCACAGCGTAATTAATTAGGTATAGAATGATGTGTGTCAAGTTTCCTGAAAATCGATTCAGATTTACATATAGCTCCCATATATATTTTCGTCCGATTTAATGTAAATGGTGCACCAAAGTCCCTATGTATCTTTCGATTTACAGGAAATTTGGCACAGTGTAATGAATTAGGTCTAGAATGATGTGTTTTAAATTTCCAGAAAATCGGTTCAGATTTAGAAATAGCTTCTATATCTGACCAAATGAAAAAGTTTGTATCGATTGCAGAATGACATGTTTATGGATATTTTTTCAAAGACCATAATAGGCGTGAATTTTTTAAAGAATCTT